TTACTCTTATTTACCAGACTTTTCTTTATGACCCTCCCATAACTGGCTTCCCCCGATCTTTCAACTCTAGCTGAAGGTGATATTAAATCAGGAATTCTAAGCCGTCTCTGAGAGTTATGCATTTTTCCCTGGGTCAAGAAACTTGTTTTTCTCTTGTTAACTGGTCTTTTGTGACAGGGATCTCAGCCAAGAACTCAAGAGGGTAGAGGGAAAATTATTTGCCAATTATTGCCAAGTAGGAAATATTTGCCCTTGCGTTCACAGAATGTGTAATTTCTATTTACTAATTACATGATATGCAACAGCTCACTGATTTCTGGAGAAGTGTGGCCTTTGCACAGCTAATGTCTGAAGACTGTCTCCTTTTCCAAAGGGAATTTAGACATTATGATCCCTTCTGTGTCTGGCTTGGGGGCAGATGTAAAGAAAGTAACTACTTGTAAACTGAGGGTTGATGCGGGTGGGAGGTTGGGAGGGCGGGGAAAACGGGGCATGGGCACGGAGGAGGGCACTTGTTGGAATGAGCGCTGGTAATGAATCATGGGTATCTACTCCTGAAGCCAAGACTACACAGTATACATTAAATGTTAGCTAAGGGGACAACACATTATTAGAAGGAAGGAAGGAAGGAAGGAAGGAAGGAAGGAAGGAAGGAAGGAAGGAAGGAAGGAAGGAAGGAAACTACTTGAAGAAGCAACTGAAATAGTGTCACTAATGTCAAGGATAAAAATGGAGATGATCAACATAGGTGCATAAAGGAAACCTTACAAGAACTTATAGTTCTTAAAAAAAAAAAAAAGGATTTACAGTTTTCAGGTATCAACAGAGAACACCAGACAACTTCTAAATGCCAAACTTGTTCACACCATCTCTGGACTTCCCTGTTCCCGAATCAGCTACCCTGATCCAAATAAAAGAGAGGACCGCTAAGCAACCAATCAGCTGGGAGGGGGGAAACAACTTCCATATTTCTCCCATAAAAAACTCAGTGTGTCAGCAACTCAGGACTCATTGCTCCTGCAGCCTTGAGGTCCCTGGCTCGCAAGTTGCAACCCTTATGATAAACTCATTTTTCTACTTTGTTTTATTCAGTGTGCCAAGCTTGGCTTTTGAGATCGTCCTAAAGTCTGGATACAAGCAAATCAAAAGGGTAAAGATGACAGATTATTCCAAATCCTATACGGTGGCAACCTGTTGCTAGATGAAATTCCTAACTATCTGGAGAAGAGGTGAGCAAAGTACAACTCACAGGTCATATCTAGCCCACCACCTCTTTCTGTGAATAAAATTTCCCGGAACACAGCCACGCTCATTCCGAGGAGACTGCTTTCATGCTGCGAGGCCGGAGGAGCTGTAGCAGAGAGAGAGTACAAAACATGTACTATTGGACCCTTCACGGACACAGCCTGCCAATTTCTAGTCAAGAGAACACAGTCATCAGGCTCTACTTTTAATTCTGTCCCCAAAAAAGACTAGTTGCTAAAGGCCATGCATGTCTTCATTGCCACCTGTCCCCACTAATAAATGCAGTTTAACTTTTGCTACTTTAAGCATTGTTTGGGAAAAATGTTATTTTTTTTTTAAATGTTTTTATTTATTTCTAGGAGAGAGAGAGAGAGACAACGTGAGCAGGGGAGGGTCAGAGAGAAAGGGAGTCACAGACTGAAACAGGCTCCAGGCTCTGAGCTGGCAGTCAGCACAGAGCCCAATGCGGGGCTCGAACCCACGAACCGTGAGATCATGACCTAAGCGAAAGTCGGACGCTTAACCGACTAAGCCACCCAGGTGCCCCAAGGGAAAGATGTTATTTTTACGTAATCACTATACCTGACATCGGGCTCTAAGATCAAGAGTTGCACATTCCGCCGAACAAGCCAGTCAGGCACTCCACTTTAAGTACTTTTCTGATTGCTGGTTGAAGGACAAGAAAAAATGACTTCTAAACTGAAATTTGGAGATAAAGAAAATCTTGGAATTGCCTCAGGTAATGAAGAGGCGGAAGGTAACTTGAAAAATCTATAGGTCTGGATACAGCGTAAGCCCCAAAGGGTTTCAAACACGTAGGTCATGCACAGAAACTGTGAATAAATTTCTAAAGGGAGGAGCCCAGCAATGACACCTAATCATAGCAACAAGGCTGGATAGAACCATCAGTTACACCAACCACCAAGAGAGGCCATAATGTGGTTAATTTATCTTTGCCCGAGGAACTTCCCACATTGGAGGACGTGCCGCTTCCCTGGGCATCCCACTCAATTTGGAAATTTCTGTTAGGAAATGACTTCTTTCATCCTTTCTTTTTGGTTCAAGGTTTTATTTTTAAGTAATCTCTACACCCAATGTGGGGCTTGAACTCACAACCCTGAGATCGAGAGTCACACGCCCCACTGAACGAGCTGGCCGGGTTTCATGTATCTGTGTGAAACCTGCACACCTCTTACCGACTCACTGGCCTTACCTCTTCTTGGAGGCTGTTAAAAACCAGGTTGCCCTAATGCCTCCTTCACATAATACCTCTTCAGATGCCTACAATGCTCTTTCCTCAGACTACTGATCCTTAGTTGTAACTTAGTTTCAAGGGCTTTCAGCACTTAGTTCCTTCTCTTCTCGAACTGCTTTAGTTTCCTAAATCATTTCTGAAGAGTGGTACCCAGAAATGACTCTAATAATACAATGTTTGGACCTCCCTTTTTAAACCTCTTCAGTTAATACAATATAAATGTTCTGCCAGTCACACTTCAAACAACATTTATATATTCTTAAAACGTTTTTTTACACGTGCTTGTGTGATATTCTGCCTCTCCATCCTAACCCCGTGTTTGTCAGACTTAACAATACATATTCTTATATCCAGCCCAGCAGCCCAGCTGAGAGTCTTCATGGATCCTGATACTGCCTTTCCCAAACCGTATTTCCTCGCTGTTCTCATCTGAAAACTCCGTAGGAGATCTGCGATAGGAAGGGGTCACTGGAGAAAGCCATCTGCAATTCTTGTATGGGGTTTGGTGGGAAAGATCTAAGGTTCCTGACAGCCAAGACTTTGTCATTCTTCGGAGGATTCCACACGGTATTTCATTAGTTTATCTTACAGCGAGTAAACAATAAATGCGTTTGGAGAACTGAATCTGTGTATCAGAATGTCAAGTGCGTGCATCGATCCTGGGTAAGGTAGGTCGCCCAGGGCATGACATGCCTCTAAAATGGAGTCTTGGGACATGAGTTAGAAGTCAAGTCTCCTGCCGGCAGTGCTGGCCTGAGCCTAACGATCTGTCCTTGGCTCGCAGCTTCTCAGTTACACAATTCTTAGAGCTCAACATGCAAAACTGATACTTTGCTTTAGAATAGTATGTTTCATTTGCAGGTTTTTCATTCTAAGATTACTTTACTTCGTAAAGCTGATATTAAGATTAATTTGCATTCCCTAAGCAAACGTAACTACTGATGGTAAAGGTAGAGAAATCAGACTGGACTAAAAATGTATCATATAAATAAAACTTGAAGCAAACTTTTACACGGCACTCGAGTTGTAACGAGGTAAGTTAAGGTAGTCTCTTATTTTTTTAGCACAACCACTGAGTTCTTTCTTGCTATTCCTGCCTGGCATTGAGTAAGTTCTCACTAAATATCAGCTGTTGTTTTTTCTAGCTATGTGAACCCCAGAACGTTCCTTTATGGCCACTGTCCTTTCCCTAGCTCACTCTTACACTCCCTTTCCTACCCTGAACGCACACTCCTCCTCGTTTTTCAAGGCTTCAACACTAAGTTAACGGATTCTCTGCTTTGGAGGCTCAGTGATATTATAACAAGACATGCAGGGAACTTTACAAAAGAAACATATTGCTATTTGGTGGATGTGCATGAACTCCCTTCCAGTGTAACAACCATTCCTTTCCCGCCACCTTATGCCCACAAGCTTCATCATTCTCCTTCAGGTTCATTCTAGTTCTTCATTCAATTCTTCTCAAATTAACTGCCAACCACCTAAAGCTTTCAATGAACCCTTCTGTCTCTCTGCATTCCCCTCCCTCAAGAGATAGTAAGAACAACGCACAACATGAAAGCAAACAGACTGATATAATTGAAAAGTACTGAGGGGTCAAGAAAGTGAAAGCCTTCCTGGAATTTAATCAGCTTCTAAAAGACATTTCTAAGCAAAAACATATTAGAGAAAGGAAAAAGAAAACACAATTTGGATTCAAAAAGACAGCTTGAACAATGACAAGAAAGAAGACAATCACCCCCTCTCCCATACCGGTCTCTAGAAATTCCAGTTAGCAGCTGGTCCCTCTTCCTCTTTCAAACCAAAACAAAATTCATTCAAAAGATCCTTGCTCTCTGTTGCTGATATACTGAGGGGAAAGGGGTCTCCAGATCATTACCTAAAATTTACTCTTCTATTCAGTAGGGACATCTAGTAGTTGATACAATGAATTAGTTTTACCTCATTTGATTTATTTTTAGTTATCTCTGGAAGTTATTTAAGAAAACTTTTAAAATGCACCCAAACAATGAACTAAAGTTTAATTGGTTAAACTGGCATGCACCCCCACCTCACGCCTAAAACTCCAGGGGCACAGAGTGGTAGAAGTTATGGAGGGCCTCACATTTCGTTCTCTTCCTTGTTCATATGACAGAGCAGCCCCCTTTTGAACAAATCCCTCTGTAATTCGGAAAGGCTTTCAACACGTTCTTCAGCTACATCACGGCCCATTGAATAGAATCCAAGAAAGGATGGGATGAATGAAAAGAACAAGTTGAAAGCAACCACAACACTTTGCAAATGTGTTTAAAAACACTCAGGAGATGACTTCACCCTATCACTGCCCAGGTTTCTTCCTTTCTTTCTGGACGTGCATGAATTGTGCTTTGTAAGCCGATCTGTAAGAAGTCGGCATGCACACACCCTCCCCAGCAGAAGAGAGAAAGCACCAGCTCTGGAACGCAGGGGCTCCCCGGAGGTCTGGGGACATGTGTGGGTACATGAAGGGGAAACCCGATACCTGGTTGTTGATGTTGACGTTGACATCGATGCTGGGACGGGAGGATGACAATGGGCTGTCTTCCAACTCAAGGTGTTTGAGCTTCTCTGAGGCATCTTCTAATGCTGGAAAAAAACGGCAACAGGGCCCCTTGGTCTCCCAGGCTGTCACAGTCATGTGAGGCGATACACTTCAGTTTCTTTCCCCAGCACCACTTACCAAAAATTAAATGGAATAATCCAGATGACCACAGAATAAATATATTTTCTTTCTATAACCAGGTAACTATTAATTTAAGAGCTCACCTAAATGGGCACATTGCACTGTACCTACACTACTCCTAGGAAGCCACTAGATATGGAATCTCAAGGGCATGTACGGTTAAGAAGGCTTAGAGGCCGAAACAGCCAAAGAAAAGGCAAAGAACATCTGTGACGTGATCCCTCCAAAACCACGACGCAAGCTCCTCCCGCCGAACCTCAGCACTTCGCCCTGCCTCCTTCCTTCCTCGGTCTGGACTATCCGCTGCCTAAAACTACACTTTGTGAAGCAAACAGACGAAGGGCATATATTTATTCATTCCCTGATACACCATATTATGTATTGATAACACAAGGTGCGATGCAGTGTCTTTCTTATGTTCCACCTAGCTGCAAAACACATTACAGAGAAAGCTCTCTAACCACTGAAAAGATAATATATTAAGCACAATTCAGCTTTAAATGAACTTAGTTAGCCACTCTGTAATAATCTTATTTTGCAGGGACCTGACAAAAAGAGCTGTTGAATGCCTAGTAATTTCTATTTAATTAGGTAGAAGAGAGGGAAAAACTGCAAAATCGTTTTCTCCTGGTCAAAGGGACCTTATAAAGTGCCTCTTAATTAACTCAGTGGATCCCTCCGGTGGCTACACATTAGACCCAGATACAGAGCTTTTAAGGAACACTGATTCCCAGAGCAGATCCTAGAATGATGATAACAATTTCCAGAGAGAGTTTTCCAGTACTGGCAGTTCTTAAAACTTTCCCAGTAATTTTAATGTATAAAACTGAGAATCATGAATTCAACACTGATCTTCTCCAGATCTTCCATTCTCATTTATGTACTTTAATTGCCATCTCCTGCTTTTTTTTTTTTAATTTCCCACTGATTTATTTTTTTTAATGCTTTATTTATTTCTGAGACAGAGAGAGTCAGCATGATCAGGGGAGGGTCAGAGAGAGAGAGTGATGCAGAATCTGAAACAGGCTCCAGGCTCTGAGCTAGCTGTCAGCACAGAGCCTGACACGGGGCTCGAACCCACGAACCGTGAGATCATGACCTGAGCTGAAGTCGGACGCTTAACCGACTGAGCCACCCAGGCACCCCACTCCTGGTGTTCTTAATGCTTCATTATGTGATACTAAATTTTAAACATGATGATGTCAAGACCACAAATACTTAAGCTTATGCTGATAACCTAATGCCCAAAAAACTGGGTTCTGGTGGGGGGTGGGGGTTCTGGCTGAAATAAAACTTGTTGTGTGACTTCTGTTTGGCTGAGAAACATCCTAAAATTATAGAATAAGGTGTTTTTAAAAAGTTACCATAGCTACTTACATATGTGAATCAGGAGTTTGATATTATAGCCAAAAGAAAATACAGAATAAACTGGACACCAAAATTATAAAACCTTAATTCTTAATATCAAAACACTAATTATTTTCACTGAATGACTCTGAACATGTTATAAATCTGAACTGAGGAAGTCTTATTAACGAAACCGCCAATGCTACACAAGAATTTCTTCTGCCACAGCTTCAACATCATTTAAGCTCTGTTTGAATACCTTCTGTAATGAGGGGCTCACTTCCTGTTAGGTATCTTGACATTTAAAAAGTTAAAGAAAGCGGCACTCCTCTGGATTATTTATTTTTGTGGGTCTGGGCAACAACAGTCCTCATTAATAACAAAATACTTCTTAGGAGCTAATGGAATGTCCAAACATTTATTAAATCCTGTGTTATAGGAAATCTTTAAGGAAACTTTTTTTCTCTTAACTTCCACTCAAGAAACAAAGTAAAAAAGCAAGTCTGAAAATTAATGAATATTAGGGGTACCTGGTAACTCATTCGGTTAAGCTGCCAACTTCAGCTCAGGTCATGATCTCACGGTTCACGAGTTCAAGCCCCACATGGGGCTCTGTGCTGACAGCTCAGAGCTTGGAACCTGCTTTGGATTTTGTGTCTCCCTCTCTCTCTGCCCCTCCACTGCTCATGCTCTGTCTCTCTCCCTCTCTCTCTCAAAAAATTCTTCACTGAATTTTAAAATTCAACTACTGCATAAGATATTCTTGAAGGAACTGATTTAAATAGCTCACTTCAGAGGGAGGGAAAATAAAAGCTGTCCTTGATGTTATATAGAACATTTACTTACTCCTGCTTTCCTCTTTAGGTTCCTCCAATCCAGTTTGCCCGGTGACTATGTTAACTTCATCTGTCACTTGGGGTGTTTGCTGAGTGTCAGGTGCCCCAATTAGATCATCAATGGTTGTTTCCATTAAGTCTGGACTATCTAGCAAATCAATATTCAGAGGGAAGCTGTAAGGGTGAAAGAAAACTAACTTAGATCAAGATATTTATCACGAATTTAAATACTAACAAAAATATCCAATGCAAAAAAAAAAAAAAAATACATGTAAGAGTTCATATCCCAACTGATTTAATCATCTGTCAAACCCCTTGGGCAGACTTCTCTTCCAGCCAAAAATGGCATCAAAGGGACTAGATTTAGCACCCCCTCCCCATATGCCAAGATAACCAGAGGGGAAGAAAAGAAACTATTTTTAAGGTATTTAGGCATCAGATAACACAGGAGGTTTGGGAAACAAAGAAGGGAAACTCTGATAGCCTTGAGAGAATGTCCACGCAGTGGCAGTGGCGTAGAGGTGAAGTGAGACAGACATGGAGGGCTCCCTCGGCTGAGAAGAGGAGGCTCACACTGGGCCACGGCGCCTATTTCCACAGGCTGTAAAAACACATTAATTCACAGGGCACTGAATATGCAGCAAGTTCTTGCCTCAGTTGTGGACAATAATTAACCCAGACTGGGCATGGCAACGACCCACCTAACATAGCACAAAAGTAAGACCTGATACGATCATATTGTTTCTAAGTAACAACTGCATCCCAAAATAAAGCTCAGGAAGATTTAGAGGAATGTAAAATTATCCAGCACCCAACAAGGTTAATTTCACAATATCAGACATCCACTGAAAGATTACCAGGAATGCAAAGAGGCAAAACAAACAAACAAAAAAGATACTGCATATTTAACAGAACAATCAATAGAAACTAATGTTAGAATTAGCAGAGAAAGACATTAAGACAGTGATTGTAACTGTCTTCCATATGTTCACAAAGTTAAGCAGAGACCTAGAAAATATAAAAGACCCATAAATCAAACTTCTTGAGACAACAGAGATGAAAAATATGTTGAATGGGATTGACAACAGATCTGACATTAGAAAAGGTACTGAGTTTGAAAGCACAGCAACAGAAACTGTACAAAATGAAATACATGGGGAAAAAACAATCCTCCCAAAGTGAAAAGAGTATCAGTTAGTTGTGGCACAAGCAGTGTACTTTATGGATAACTGGAGTCCCAACGTAGGAGTGGGACCAAACAAATATTTAAAGAAATAACAGCTGAAATTTTTCTAACTTTGATGAAAACTGTAAACCCACAGATCCAAGAATCTGAACAAACCCTGAACACAAGCAATACGAAGAAAACGACCACAAAACATGTTAGAATCAAACTGCTTAGAACCAATGATAAAAAGAACATCTTAAAAGCAGACTAAGACATAATATGGTCAGAGGAATAAAGATAAAGATGACAGATTTCTCACCAGAAACACTGCAAACCAGAGAGCAGAGGGGAACACTTTGAAGTCACTGAAAGAGACAAAAACCCCTACCAACCCAAATTTTATATCCAGCATAAAAAGCCTTAAAAAACAAAGGAAGGGGCGCCTGGGTGGCTCAGTCGGTTAAGCGTCTGACTTCGGCTCATGTCATGATCTCATGGTTCATGGATTTGAACCCTGCATCGGGCTCTGTGCTGCCAGCTAGCTCAGAGCCTGGAGCCTGTTTCAGATTCTGTATCTCCCTCTCTCTCTGACCCTCCCCTGTTCATGCTGTCTCTCTCTCTCTCTCTCTCTGTCTCTCTCCCTCTCTCAGAAATAAATAAAACATAAAAAATTTTTTAATAAATAAAAAACAAAGGAAAAGTGAGGCATATACCGAAGAAAAATGAACACATACATCCACACAAAAAGTGTACACAAATGTCATAGTGGCGTATCCGTAGCCAAAAAGTGGAAGCAACTCAAATGCCCATCAACCTAGGAGTGGATAAATAAGATGTGGTACAGCCGCAGAATGGAATACTAATCAGCAATACAAAGGTGTAAAGTATGGACAGATGCTACAACACAGGTGACCCTTGAAAACATGATGTTAAAGGGAAAAAAACAGATACAAAATACCATCTATTGTAGAAGTGCATTTATATGAGATGTCCAGAGTAGGCGAATCCATACAGACAGAAAGCAGATCTGTGGTGGTTGCGGGTAAAGGAGGGGCCAGGGAGGAATGCAGACTCACTGTTGTCACGTAAGGCAAGAAATTACGATTCAATATGCACTGTTGCCTTGACATGTTGGGCCTCGCAGGCCCCGAATGCCTAACCATGAGTTTCCCTACTCTTACCAGATTATGTGCCCTCACCCCATCCAGTGGAAAAGTTCCTTGGGCACCTTGCTGGCTCACTTGGCAGAGCACGTGCCTCTTGATCTTAGGCTTTGAGTTCAAGCCCCATGTTGAGTCTAAAGACTACTTAAAAATAAAATCTTTAAAAAAAAAAAAAGAAAAGACAAAGGAAAGAAAGAACAGTTCCCCATCCAGCTATACGAGCTGCATTTTACCTGGTTCTTAACCTGAGTTTTACTTCCCTGCCAGCCTAGGAAACTATTCGAACAAGGAATCACACCTTCTAGTGGGAACCAGGGGTCACCTCGTCCTCGTGTCCCTAGAAAGGCTGCCTCCCACAGCCTTTGATCCCAAAGTACACTTTGATCCCAGATACAATACCCATGTGGCCCTGTATGCTGTGAGGTTTTCCCCTCTGTTGAGCTATGAGTATATGTAACTAATACATTGCTATCTCATCTGTCCTGCGCTGGGTGTGGTATGCTCAGCCATCTTGTGGTATCCAGGGTGGGGCATCCCTCCCCTACGTAAGAGTGAATGGGAACTGATGAGAACAAGTGCCAAAGGGCATGGGGTTTCTTTTAGGGGGACAAAAATGTCCTAAAATAAAACTGTGATAAAGGCTATACAACCCTATGAACATACTAAAAACACTGAAAATTCCCTTTATTTTTTTTACAGAAAGATTTTCTTTTGGGTGTGTGTTTATTACTTTGAGAGAGAGAGAGTACACACATGAGAGAGAATGAGTGGGGGAAGGCCTAAAAAAGGGGGGGGAGAGAGAGAGAGAGAGAAAGAGAGAGGATACCAAGAGGGCTCAGTGCAGAGCTCTGTGCTGAGCTAGACACAGGGCTCAATCTCACAATCATGAGATCCTGACCTCAGCCAAGATCAAGAGTTGGACACTTAACCAACTGAGCCATTCAGGTGCCCTTGAATGTTCACTTTAAATGGATGAATGGTGTGAATTATATCTTAATAAAGCAGCAAAAGAAAAAGTCAAAATAAAAACACTGTCATTCATACAAAAGAATTCATGACCAAAAGACCTGCACTAAAAGAACATTAAAGGAAGACCTATAGGTAGAAGTAAAATGAACAATGTATTACGGGGTTTATAATATACTTAAGAGTAAAATGCTTGACAAATGATAATAAAAAGGCTACTAAGAGACAGAAATGGAAGTACCCTACCTATAGTAAGGTTCTTATACTCTACATGAACTAGTATACATACAGTATACATACCTACAACTGTGATAAGTTGTATATGCTAAAGCAACCATTAAAGTAAAAACAAAACAACACAGAACAAAAACATGAAGAGTTACAGGTAAGGATTGAAGAAAATACAAAAATAAAAAATTTTAAAAAATATCTGACTAATGAAAAAGGCAGAAAGAAGGAACAAGAAACATGGGACAAACAGAAAACAAATAACAAAGATAACAAATGCAAACTTAATCACAGCAATAATCACAGTACATGGAAATGACCTACACACTAATTTTTAAATGCAGAGATTGTCAGTTAAGGTTAAAAAAGCAAAATCCAATTTTAGATTGGATACTGCCAATCTAAAAATTTTAGATTTAGATTTACATACTGCCTATCTAAACAATTTAAATATAAACAAAGAGATTAAAAATAAAAAAAAGATATATATCACACTAACACTAGTCACAAGAAAGCCTAACCAAATATACTGATCTCAGTATAAAAGAATAGTTAGAAAAGTATTTTAAACTAAACGAAAATGGAAGCATAGGGGCACCTGGGTGGCTCAGTCAGCTGAGTGTCCAACTTGGGCTCATGTCATGATCTCACAGTTCATGTGTTCGAGCCCCACAATGGGCTCTGTGCTGACAGCTCAGAGCCTGGAGCCTGCTTCAGATTCTGTATCTTCCTTTCTCTCTCCCCCTCACCTGCTTATGCTCTGTCTCTCTCAAAAATAAATAAACTTAAAAAAAAAAAAAGAAAAGAAAAGAAAATGGAAGCATAACATATTCAAAGTTCAGAGTAAAGAAGAGTACCTAAAATGGAGATGATCATTTATCAGGATAAGGGAGTCATTTAGTCAAGAGAACAATACTAAATATTTATGAACTTAATGACAGAGCTTTAACATATATGAAGCTCAAACTGAAAGAACTACAAACAGTAATGCACAAATCAGTAATTATGACTGGAGATTTCAATATTCCCTTTCAATAACTGATAGAACAATCAGGAAGAAAATCAGCAAAAAAAACTGTAGACTTGAACACTAACCGTAACTTTACCTAATTGACATTTATAGAATACTATACTCAAAAGAGCAAAATACATGTTTTTCTTAAGTGTACCTAGAATAACCAATAAGAGGAGTGCCTGGGAGGCATAGTCAGTTTAGCCGTTGGCCTTCAGTTCAGGTCATGACCTTGTGGTTCATGAGTTTAAGCTCTGTGTTGACAGCTCAGAGCCTGAAACCTGCTTTGGATTCTGTGTCCCCCTCTCTCTCTGCCCCTTCCCCACTCTCTATCACGTGCACATGCTCACTTGCTCTCTCAAAAATAAACATTAAAAAAAAAAATTAACCACTAAGATAGGCCATAAAACAAGACTTAATGAATTCAAAAGGATTCAAGTCATATTTAATATGGGTGTTCTTTGACCAGAACAGAATTAAATTAGAAATCGAAAATAGAAAGATCCTTGGGAAAACCTCAAATATTTAGAAACCATTTAAGGAGCTTCTAAGTAATCAACAGCTCAACAAAGATAAACCAAAAAGAAAATTAGAAAAGTATTTTGGACTAAATGAAAATGGAAGCATAACATATTCA